ATTAGCTTTTTTTACGACATTAAACCCCATGTGATGAATAGAAGTGTGAATGTCTACAAAAATCATGCCCTTCATACAGTGGTAGAGAAGGTGATAAGGTGATTTAAGGCTGGTGATGAGGTATGGTTTAAAGTATAAATGATCATAAATTATTGCACTTAGAGTATTTATTAAAGTCTTATAAAAGTTTTGTGACTTATATAGGGGAAAGGGAGTAGAGAATATATATATATTTTTTCTTTTCTTTTCTATTCATCTTTTTTATTGTAGTTTGTAACAGTTCCGCGCAACATAAAATATACGCTGAATAATATTCTGTTGTAATTCTTGCTTATGTTTTATAGAACGGCACACATTTCATTATTTTTTTCATGGGCACTTTTGATATTTTACGTAAAAAACAAAATCAAGTTTCCATTTTCACAGAGGATATGAACAAAGAGAACAGTGTTTTTTCACCATATGTCTTTATATTCAGAATGCAATTATTCTTTTTCATTTACTTTTTAAAATCATTATTCATTATGTAAATATTATCCACATTTACTCTATATATTATACATAGGAAGTGAGCTTTGGGAAGTACATTTAGTGGTATCCGCCTCCGTTCTGCGGGAAGACGACAGCAGGACCGGAAACTTTGGGGTGCTGAGCCTTGCCGGAGTAGCTGACCTTGGCCACGAATCCCCTGCCGTGGTCTGCTGTGTAATCAACCTGCAATTGGAGAGTAATTACACTAGATGGTGCAGAGTCTCTTGTAAAACTTTAAGGGTTGTTGTTATGAATGAAATGGTACACTAAGATGTTCGAAGATTAATTACAGTTTGTTTACGACCGTCGGGGAGGGCGACGGTGTAGGATCCCCACACGCTGTTCCCGTCGGACTTCTCCGTCTGTCCGAAGTTGGTTCCTTTGTAAGCGTCGTTCACACCATAGTTGAAACCATATGGTATAGGGACCTAGAAAGGGGCATTGAGTGGTATTTAAAAGCGATGTGATGTAGTGCCCTGAAAAAAATATGATATTATTCGAATAATTAAATGATACAAGAATACTGAAAGAAAAAAAATACTTACAGAGGCATAAACTGGCCCATAATTGTCAGGAGAGGCCTGGGCGACGGCCAACACAACGAGGATTATAGTAGCCTGTAAGCAAAAAAGTAATTTGTAATAGGAATATGGTAGTTTTATTTCATATTTATATATGCATATAATTTCCATAATGGAATATGAAAATTACACTTAAGAGGGACATTTTACTGTTTTGAAATAAAATAATTATATTAATAGTAGCTTTTTTTCAAGTGTGACATCCTACATTTTCGCATATCATTCAACATTTTCTGAACTATATTTAGTTGTTATGGCATGTTATAAGATATTTGAATAAATTAAACGCACTCGGTAGATCATCGTAAGAAGCTTGCTGCCTTTGGATGAAGAATGGCTTTGCAGAGCTCATGCTGCCTTTATATACTAGCGACTGTCACTTGGAATGTAACAGTGTGATGACGAACATTGTTTTTCAGCCTTGATGAAACAATTATACAAAAATTAATTTTAAATATTTATTGATAGGATTAAAAAAAAAAAACATGTCTAATGAATATGTTATTAATATTTGCATTTATTCTGTATTTTTCATAAATGTATTCATTGAATTAACTTTTCAAAATGTATAGATCACTGGTAATTTTTCATTTTGATGACGGCATGGTCGATTGTGATAAAGGACTAGACTGTCAACAATATATAGGGACCAACAACTAAATCCTCCTTGTTTATATATGTATATATATATATATATATATATATATATATATATATATATATATATATATATATATGCACACACACACACACACACACACACACACACACACACACACACACACACACACACACACACACACACACACACACACACACACACACACAATCACACACACACACAATCACACACACACACACAATCACACACACACACACAATCACACACACACACACAATCACACACACACACACACAATCACACACACACACACACACACACACAATCACACACACACACACACACAATCACACACACACACACACACAATCACACACACACACACACACAATCACACACACACACACACACACACAATCACACACACACACACACACACACAATCACACACACACACACACACACACACACACACACACACACACACACACACACACACACACACACACACACACACACATACACACACACATACACACACACACACACACACACACACACACACACACACACACACACACACACACACACACACACAATCACACACACATGCACACACAATCACACACAATCACACACACACAATCACACACACACACAATCACACATACACACACACACACACACACACACACACACACACACACACACACACACACACACACACACACACACACACACACACACATATATATGTTGCATATTATATATATATATATATATATATATAGATAGATAGATAGATAGATAGATAGATAATGTTACATATGGGTATACATATATTACATATATATATATATATATATATATATATATATATATATATATTTGTCTATATTGTCTATATTGTCTATATACATACATGATACATACATACATACATACATACTTACATACACAAACACACATTAATATTTGTATTAGTGTTATGTAAAGAAGTATTACTTCAACTATGTAGTATAAGTATATAATGATAATTGTGCGTGTTGTTTGCATTTGTCCAGATGAGGAATACCCCATGCAATTTTACGATAAATGACGTGTGATATTTAATTTAGCATTTAGTATTATGATTACTTACATTTATTGTGTGAGATATTTATCATTATCATCATTTGTTAATGTTCTTGTTTATATTCAGAAGGACTGCACGTATATATATACTGTATAAAAGTTTGTGACAGCTTGTATAAATTCGAGGTGGTAAAGAGATAAATTTAGTTTTCATCTCATCTGAACCGTTTTCATGTGAAGTCTAAGTTATTGCATGTGAATTCAGAGTTGTCATTTCATATTTTCAGAACAGAAAATACTTGTAATACGTTGAAACTAAAGCACAAAAGGAGTTGCAATAAACAGTTTCAAACGTTACGAAATTCTAGTGAAGATTGATTACCAAAACGTGAATTGCATATCTTGTATTTCGAATTATTTCCTCTAATTCCTTCCTTCTGTATTTGTCTCACGGTCCTTGCAACATATTAAGACTAACAGCGCGATTATTTGAGATTATTTATGCGCGGCATAAATTAAATTTCCAGCTGATTCATCTCACCTTTACTATATGTTGTGATAGTTGCTAATTTAGTATATGGAAATGGAATAAAGGCAAAGAGGAAGCCGTAAAACGAGCAAAAACAAAATAAAATGTTGTAGTTTCTTCTTCTTTGTTATTGCTTTCGTAATATCGTGATCTGAATGAGGAAGATTTTAATTTTTATTGGTTGTCGTCGTTGAAAATGTTACTAAACTGATAAGG